TTAAATAAAGTGTCGGTGGCAGATGCGTATCCCCTGCCGCGTATGGACGATTCTCTCGACGCCTTGTCAGGGGCTAAGTTTTTTTCAACGCTAGATCTCTCTTCGGGCTTCTGGCAGCTTCCCCTTGACGAGCCCTCGCGGGAAAAGACAGCGTTCCGTACGCCGCAGGGGTTGTTCCAATTTAACTGTCTGCCGATGGGGTTGAATGCAGCCCCTGCCACCTTTCAGAGATTGATGGAGTTGGTATTGACGGGGTTGCAGTGGGAGACATGTCTCATTTATTTAGATGATATTATTGTCTTCAGCCGCACATTTGATGAGCATTTATTGCGGTTGGAGGCCGTTTTTGCCAGAATGCGTTCTGCTAATTTGAAATTCAAGCCTAAGAAATGTCATCTACTGCAACGTTCCGTTCGATACTTGGGACATATTGTTAGTGCGGACGGGGTGGCCACGGATCCAGAGAAAACTGCGTGTGTCCGGGATTGGGCAACCCCCGCCACGGTGGGTGATGTGCGTCGGTTTTTGGGGTTCGCCTCATATTACCGGAGGTTTGTTCCGAATTTCGCTACTATCGCCAGGCCTTTGCATCTCCTTACTGGGAAGGGGCACAAATTTGTGTGGGGACCGCCGGAGGAGGCGGCGTTTCGGAGCCTGCGCGACCTACTGGCTACTGCGCCGACGTTGGATTATCCGGATTTTGAACATCCCTTCATTCTGGATACTGATGCGAGTGACACCGGGATTGGGGCGGTGTTGTCCCAGTCAAAAGGTGGTGTTGAGCGTGTGGTGGCGTACGGGAGTCGGGTTTTGTCTCCCGCGGAAACTCGTTACTGCGTTACTCGCAGGGAACTTTTGGCTATTGTGTATTTTCTCCGCCAATTTCGACCGTATCTGTACGGTCGGTCGTTTATTGTCCGAACGGACCATGCGGCCTTGCAGTACGCTCTTAAGATGGACCAGCCATCCGGACAATTGGCGAGATGGCTGGACACGTTGCAAGAATTCTCCTTCCAAATTCACCATCGGAAGGGTGTGCGTCACGCTAACGCGGACGCACTGTCCAGGTTGCCGCAACAATCCCCTTGTGCGTGTGCGTCGGGGACGCATAGGTGTGGACCGGCTCAGCCCCCCCCTCAGCCTGTCGCGCGGGCAGTGGATGTTCTCGAACCTCCGCTTACACCGGGACCGGTTGAAGGGGGACCGGCTGACGGGATTTTGCGTCTTCCAAGGTCTGTGTGGGTTCGGGAGCAAATGTTGGACGATTCTTTGGTGTCGTTACGGAAACGAACGGAGAAGGCGGGTAAGGAAGTCGGTGCGGGTGGTAATTCGGAAACTGCTCTCCGAGATGGGTTACTGATGTGGAGGGAAGGGATACAGGAACACTGGCGTCTCGTTGTGCCTGCGTCATTGCGCTATGAGTTGATTAGATCCTTGCACTGTGACACACTTTTACACCTGGGGGTGCAGAAAACCCTATTGACGCTGCAACGAGACTATTATTGGCACGGCATGACGACGGATGTCGTCGGTCACGTTCGCGCGTGTCCCGATTGTGCCCGCCGTAAGCCGCCTAAACATCCATATGTTCCGCCGATACAATCGATTAAAGTATCTCGGGTTAATGAGTTGGTGGCGTTAGATATTTTGGGACCCTTTCCGCCATCAGCTAAAGGAAATAAGTATTTACTGGTGGGGGTGGAGTACCTCTCTCGCTGGCCGATGGCCTGGCCCTTGCCTGACCAGTCAGCGGCGTCTATCACGGACGCCTTTCTATTTGGGTATGTAATGGACAAAGGGGCTCCGGAGAGGCTCCTTACGGATCAGGGACGTAACTTTTCGTCTAAATTGTTGGGGGAGGTGTGTGCGGCTCTTGGAACTAAAAAGATACGGACGTCCCCCTACCACCCGCAAACGGATGGTATGGTGGAACGGTTGAATCGGACTCTGTCCGCCATGCTGTGCCATACAGTCGGGGAAAACCAATCTGATTGGGATTTGCATATCCCTGGGGTGCTTTCGGCGTATCGCATGACGCCGCACGCGTCTACTGGATACTCGCCGTTTTTCCTTATGTACGGCCGTGAGAACGTGCCGCCGATTCATGACCAGTTGGGAACCGGTGCGAGGGGGCCTGTTAAGCCTCTTCCTGAGTATATTAAGGACAACGTTCGGCGTGTCGCTGAGGCGAGGGAAAATGCCGCATGGCTACTGCCAAGGCTCAGGCCAGGAATGAGCGGTGTGCCCGACGTTCAAAGGGGGAGTGTCCCTGGAAAAAGGGGGACCTGGCCTGGCTTCATTGCCCACAGGTGCGGCCAGGTACATCTCCTAAATTACATCGACCTTGGCAGGGTCCGGTCCGCCTCATTGAGGTTCCCAACCCACAGTCGGCGCGTGTTCAGGTTGGTGCACGGCGTTGGTTCGTGCACACGTCCCGGTTGAAGCCATACATTGCCCCACGGCCGGATGCGTCATCTCCCCAAGTTGCCTTGCCGGGGTCTGTTGCTGCCGACTCGCCCTTGCCTGTGTCTGCTGACCTTGCGAGAGCGCCTGTCGTACCCTTCACAGACAAGCCGGCCGTGACAGCGCAGGGAGGAGGACCTTCCGCTTGTGGGACGCCGACCGGAGCCGCAGAACCCACGGGACCTGCAGCTCTTCCTATCCCTCCGCGGACGCGAGTACGGGATGTTTCTGGACGCGAGCGGGACAGTGGCGGGCCTCCAATGGCGACGGAAGAACTTGCGCCCGTCGCCCCTAAAACCCTTCCACGTTCCCGCTCGGCGGGTGGGCCGCCGACCGTCCGGGACGGCCCGGCTACCCGTACTCGCTCGAAATCCCTCACGTTTCGTTAGATTGTGTTGTGTTGTGTTATTGTTATAATGTTCTTCAATGCTTCGTGTCTTTTTGCGTGTTGGCCCTTTACACCCGCATTGCTTTTCAGGTTGCAATTCAGCCGAGGTCGGCTGGATTTTCTTTAGGGGGGAGGGTGATGTAATGCGGTTGTAAACGGCCCTTCTGAGGTGCCGTCAGGGGGGGAGGAGTTAGGTCACGGGGGGGGAGAGGGGTTGAGTATAGAAGGAGGGGAACCGGAAGAGCAGGGGGAGTGACTGGGAGCCAGGAACAGAGGAAGGCCACGTAGGGCGAAGCGGGGTGTGGCGAGATCGCCACGAACACGGGGGAAGCGAGGATCGGCACCGTTGGCCAGCGGTGACCGACCCGAAGCAGCAAGGAGGCTGCAGTCAGCAGCGGGGCTGCACAGAGAGAGTGGGCAGCGGGTCTGCATACAGTGACAGCCAGAGGGTCTGCACATAGGGGTAGCAGCAAGTCTGCAGGGAGGAGGTTACAGTAGATGAAGCAGAGAGTCAGAGGGGTGAGGAAGCTATAATAGCAGTGAATAGCCGGGGGCTACAAATACAGGAGTTATAACAGAGTGCCGTGTGGGTAAAGACGTGAACCTGAATAAAGACACGAAGACAGAAAGAAGTGTTCGAGTCCTTTTATTACAAAAGTAAAATAAAAAATCACGACGTTTCGGAGGCAACACAAGCTTCTGTCTTCAGGTGGAACCGTCACAGCACGATTGCTGTATCAAGTAAAGAGATATTCCAAGAGACCCGACCTTGTATATATACTGGTTGAGGGAGGAGGAGCCAGGGTAGGCCCCTGGACAGGAGTTTTTTTTATTATGATAAGGTTGGTGCGGCTGAGGCTGCTGCTAGGACTGAGCCTTTGTTATGTAGACTGGTTGAGCGGGGAGGTGACAAAGTTGTTAAGGTGTGGCTGCTGCTATAGTAGTGTATAGTAGTGTTTAGTGTAGTGTATAGTAGTGTAATGTATTGTATCAGTGTATCGGAGTGTAGTGTATAGTATAGTCAAGTAGGGCATAGTGTATAGTAATGTAGTGGTGTTAACTACTCGCTGTTCGCAAACTGAGAGAGCGGATCGTAAACAAGGTTTTCCCGCTCAATCAAACGGTCAGGGTCAAATGGGGTGAGGTAGGATCCAAACGCCAGATTGGGAAGGACCAATCGGAGGGTTCCACAAAGGGGCCGGGGATTGGACAACCCGGCCACGAACAGGTATAAAAGCCAGAGCGCTGAGAGCTCTTGGCCAGTTCTGCTACACGAAGACCCTTGTCGGCCGAAGATAAATAGGACCCTGGACCAAGCCTTCCAGCCCTTGTCAGGGCTGGGGCTCAGAGTAACCAGTGGTCAGGGGAGATAGGTCCTGGATAGGACCCTGGCTCCCAGCCTTCCCGCCCTTGTGAGGGCGAAGGTCCTGAGCGACCAGAGGTCGGGGACCCGCCGGGCCAGCGGCGGGTCAGTGTGCCTCCCCTAGGTCCAAGCCGGAGGACGCTAGGCTAGCGGGGAGATTAGATAGACAGCAGGTCTGGAGGCTGGTCCTCAGAATAGGAGCTAAGCGTGAGTGTGGAGCTGTACAAGGTCCGGAGGCTGTATCTCCTCAGGGTAACGGGTGAGGGGACCATATACCCCTTTGTGTGATAAGGACTGTGTAATAAGACAATAAACAGTGTGTGCCATAAAAAGTTATTAAGTCCATCCTTTACAAAACTACAGTAGTGTAGAGTGTAGTGTATTATATGGTAGTGTAGTGTATAGTAGTGTAGAGTGTAGTAGGGTATAGTAGTGTAGTGTATAGAGGAGTGTATAGTGTAGTGTGTATAACATCTGAAAGCACTGCCTGATGATGCGTTGGACATCTTCATTTGCCAGCCATCCTAAAAGCTGCTGTTGCTGCTGTGAGGATGATGATCAGGATGATGGTTGTTTATATGATGATGATGGTTTATATGATGATGGTTTATATGATGATGATGTTTCATATGATGATGGTGGTTCATGTGATCTTGGTTTATATGATAATGTTTTATATGAAGATGATGATGGTTTATAGGATGATGGTTTACGTGATGATGATGGTTTATATGATGACGATGATGACGGTTTATATCGCTTCGTGACGAGATCGTCGAAGTGCACCTGAGTCAGGGGGTGCGGTGGTACTTGATGTCACAGGTGGAACAGATTCTTTCCTGCAGAAAGTATCGCCGACAGGCTTATGATAGCCGGGTTTGCATCTGCACCGTCTGTCTGTGGTTGCGCTGCATTGCCGCTCCTCTTCCTCATCTGTGGATGAGATAAAAAAAATATAGAGTAGTGTATGGTGTAGTGTATAGTAGTGTAGTGTATAGTAGTGTATAGTAGTGTAGTGTATAGTAGTGTATAGTGTAGTGTATAGTAGTGGAGTACATAGTAGTGTAGTATACATTAGTGTATAGTAGTGTAGTGTAGAGGTTAGTGTATAGTAGTGTAGTGTATAGTGTAGTGTATAGTAGTGTAGTGTATAGTAGTGTATAGTGTAGTGTATAGTGTATAGTAGTATAGTGTAGTGTATAGTAGTGTATAGTATAGTGTATAGTAGTGTAGTGTATAGTGTAGCGTATAGTAGTGTATAGTATTATTTTATTTTTTATTTTATTATGTTTTATTTTTATTATTGTATTATTTCCCTTCTATGTGACTTTACCGAAAGAACCAAGAAGATAGTGTATAGTAGTGGAGTACATAGTAGTGTAGTATACATTAGTGTATAGTGTAGTGTATGGCTTAGTGTATAGTAGTGTAGTGTATAGTGTAGTAGTGTATAGTAATGTGTAGTGTAGTGTTTAGTAGTGTGTAGTAGTGTATAGTCGTGTATAGTGTAGTGTTTAGTAGTGTAGTGTGTAGTGTAGTGTATAGTGTAGCGTATAGAAGTGTATAATGTAGTGTAGAGTGTAGTTTATCAGGTGTTAGGCCAATGATGCTTCAGCACACAAGACAATCGGGATGAGTCGCTCACCGGGCTGACAAGGTGTGCACGTAAAGCATTTTGGTGAGCTGTTTGGATACTCCGTAAAATAGCCACCATCGCAGACTTGACAGCTGGAGTGTCCCTGTTCAGCTGTGCAGTCCGATATTAAATACTCCCCTTTTGGGAGCAAAACACAAACACGCGAACACACGGACAAACGTTCATAAACGATTGTTTTCATTCACATTTTCCGAAAGAATGTAGACAGCTAAACAATTTTTTTTTATCCTTTGAGGCGTAAGGCTCCACTGAGCTACGTAGATATTTTTCAGAAGAGGTACCTGGCCATCACATACGATAGCAGCTCAACTAATTGGCTGATATCATCATCGTCTGGACATTCATAGCAGCAAAGTAGTCTAAATACTCTAACGGCGTGATGTTTATTCTAAACGTGGAGGGAAAAACCGGAGGACCTGGAGAACAATCCACGGGAGAGAGAGAAAGAGGCAGGGTCCAGGATCGAACCCACAACCTCCTGAATACCAGGCGAGGTAGTTACCATGTTCCGTGGTCCGGGATGGAACCCACGACCTCCTGCACACCATGCGAGGTAATTAACATCTCGCAGGGTCCAGGATCGAACCCACTACTTCCTCCATACCAGGCGAGGTTGTTAACATCTCCTAGCCACATGGCGCCCCCAATTGTACCGTGATTGTGCAATTGCCATCATGTGTTTGTAGTTTATCCTTCCCCTGCACCTCTAATTAGCGTGGTTGGTTCCGTACGCTGACAAAAAAATTCAACGTACACTCTGCTAAACACTTCAATAAACTACTAAACAGTACACTATACACTAAATACTGTACACCAAACAACGATACACTACATTATACACTGCACTATACAATACACTACACACTGTATACCACACACTACTCCAATACACTATACACTGCACTACTATACACTACACCACGTTACACTACTATACACATACAACACACTATACATTATACTACTACACACTACACTACATTACACTATACTATACACGACACCACTATACACTACACCATCATACACTACACTACTATGCTACATTGACATTTCTTTAGAACTGCATTCCTCTGTGTTTGTGGTTTGTTGTTCATGCCCTGCCACCTCCGATTCGCGTGGTTAGCTACGTGCTGTGGTGCGAGAGAAGTTCAACACACGCGTACACCCACTCACACAAAACAGAAGCATCTTTACAATAGCTGCACTGCCAATAGAATGGTTTTCCCCAGCTTATTTTAAGAAAAGAACACCACCACTATCTGCGAACTTTAAAATATATCGATTGTAAAAAATGTTTTTTTTTACTAGGAGATGGCCAATTTCTATTCTTTGTGTTTTTTTCAGAAAAGTCACGTAGATAGAAAAATCAAAAATAAAGTGAATTAAAAAAATAGATATTAAAAATAACAAATAAAAACACTTTCATGATTTGATTGTATTGTATTTATTCACTTTTTTTTCGTTATTGTTTTTCTGTCTACGTTACTTCACCGAAAGAACCAAAGAATTTGAATTCCTGCAGTCACGAAAGTTTTAAGTAAAAAGGTAGGGCCAATTTCCTTCACCTGCTTCGCACTGCTGACAGCAAATGTCACCACTTGCTGCCCGGTAGAATCCATGAGGGCACGCACCGGCTTTGGTTGTCTGTGAACGGGTAGAGAGAAGCGCAATTTACAACTCAAACAAAACCAAAAACTACGTTTTAAATCCTTTATATTAAGTTCACTTGCTTGCTTGCTTGCGCGCTTACAACCGTGCAAATCTTTCGGTCGTTTTTTTACCCACTTCCCGTGATCCAATCGAGCTGACATTTTGCACACAGACTCGTTGTGCGTGACAATTTCTTTTCGTGAAAATTTTTTTCCAAAATTTGACACTTTTTAGGTAAAAGAAAATTATATTTAATTACCAATTGCTTAATGGTGGCAGGCAATCATCTGACCCATAGGTGGCAGCCATCTCAAGCCAGAGGACGAGAGGACTCTGGCCCATTGAACACGCATATAAAGGATTTATAGTGAAAAACTTTGTTTTTACGGGTTAATTTTTCGGACGTTAGGCTACTGGGTGTATCCTGGCATGATATCATAAAAAAAAATAGTTGAGCTCAGTGAGTGTGAAGTATGTCCCGACAAGATGAATGGCATAACTGGAAATGTGGGCTATAGACGGGGGGCGCATTATACAAGAGATGTCGGTAAGCTGTATGACCTCGATATATATATCTGTTTTTCTATTTTATCTTTGACTTTACCCGGTTTAAGGCCCACCGCTGAGCTATGTAGCTCTTTATCAGAAGCGACCTGGCCATCACAAATGATGGCAGCTCAATCACGTGGCTGATGTCGTCATCATCACGTGGACATTTATAGCAGCAGCCAAATACTGTTTTGGATTATTTGTCTGTGGGTTGGTGAGTGGGTTGGTGAGTGGGTGGGTGAGTGAGTGAGTGGGCGAGTGGGTGAGTGAGTGGGTGGGTGGGTGAGTGGGTGGGTGAGTGGGTGGGTGGGTGAGTGGGTGGGTGGGTGGGTGAGTGGGTGGGTGGGTGAGTGGGTGGGTGGGTGGGTGAGTGGGTGGGGGCGTGGATGAGTGGGTGGGTGGGTGAGTGGATGGGTAAGTGGTCGGGTAGGTGGGTGAGTGGGCGGGTAGGTGAGTGGGCGGGTGGGTAGGTGGGTGGCTGGGTAGGTGGGTGAGTGGGTGGGTGGGTGAGTGGGTGGGTGAGTAGGTGGGTGGATGGGTGAGTGGGTGAGTAAGAGGTTGGATGAGTTGGCGAGAGGTTGGATGAGTGGGTGGGTGGATGAGTGGGTGAGTGGGTGGATGAGTGAGTGGATGAGTGGGTGGGTGGATGAGTGGGTGGGTGAGTGCATGGGTGAGTGGGTGGTGGATGGGTGAGTGGGTGAGTGGGTGGGTGAGTGGATGGGTGAGTGGGTGGGTGGATGGGCGAGTGGGTGAGTATGTGAGTGGGTGGGTGGATGGGTGAGTGGGTGGGTAGATGGGCGAGTGGGTGGGTGGATGGGTGAGTGGGTGGGTGGATGGGTGAATGGGTGGGTGGGTGGATGGGTGAGTGGGTGGGTGGATGGGTGAGTGGGTGAGTAAGAGGTTGGATGAGTGGGTGCGTGGGCGAGAGGTTGGATGAGTGGGTGGATGAGTGGGTGGATGAGTGGGTGGGTGAGTGGGTGGGTGGATGAGTGGGTGGGTGAGTAAGAGGTTGGATGAGTGGGTGCGTGGATGAGTGGGTGGGTGGATGAGTGGGTGGGTGGATGAGTGGATGGGTGAGTGAGTGGTGGATGAGTGGGTGGGTGGATGAGTGGGTGGGTGAGTGGCTAACCATCAGAACAAAGACGGTGGTCACCACATAATTACTCGCGGGCGCTTTCAGATTGCACTCCGCTTCTTCTGCTGCCGTCTGGAACGCTCTTTCACTGGGAGGCAGAGCTAACGCCGCCACCAGTAATGGTATACAGAAGGACGTAGGTTTTATCTCGACCCTGACGCCTGCTGTATTATTTTGAGTATTGTGCGTCTCTCTCTCCCAGTGATGGTCGCGTGGATTTTTTTGCGGGTTTTCCGGTTTTTAACCTCCACATTTAGAATCGACATCGCCACGCGTTCAGAGTATTTGCCTGCTGCTGTACATATCCACGTAATGATGATGATATCAGCAATTTGGTTAAAATGCTGTTGTTACATTTGATGGTCAGGTACCGCTGCTAAAAAAGAAGCTACATCGCTGCTCAGTGGGCCATCTCTGGTAATATAAAAATGTTTTTGTTCCAATATGGGTCTGTGTGTGTCTATGTTGGTCTTTATGTATCTCTATGGGTTTCTATTTATCTCCACAGGTCTCTGTGTCTCTACGGGCCTCTGTGTATGTGTATTGGTCTCCATGCATCTATATGGGTCTCTATGTATCTATGTGGGTCTCTATGTGTCTCTATGCGTTGAGAGTATCTGTCTGCTGCTATACATTTCCACAACGCAAACGATGATATCCGCCACTTGGTTGGACTATCATTTGGTGACGGCCAGGTGGCTCGTGAATATTGAGCCACAAACAGAAACTCAGTGGGTCCTTCCACCTGGCCACGATGAAGACGTTTTGTCTTTAGTTTAAATCGCCAGTGAAGTGTCGGGCAATTGAATTAGATGCCCGGATGACTCTTCCCATCACTGCGAATTCTCTCGACACACGGGAAAAGCCACCCCTCACCTGCATCATCGACACAGTTGCTGTAGCAGCCGATGGCACCGAAACCACCACCACCGCCACCGCAGCCACCACCACCGCCATCGGCACCATGGTCACAGGGGACTCGCGGCTTTCTTTTTGCCGAACTCTCTGCCCCTGTGCCGGACGGAGTTCGCCCTCTTTCGTGGGCTGGTGGCTTCCTACTTCCTTCCCTTCGTAGCCTCTTGTCAAGCTGTGTGCGTGCGAGCGAGCGAGTGAGCGTGATTCACCGCTCTGTTGTCGTACGTTGGAGCCGCCTCCGATTAGCGCTGCTGGCGAAAGGAAGTTGGGCATTGGTCACGTACACGTGCTTTTACACTACGCCATACACTACGCATGATACACCACTATACACTGCGCTATTATACACTACACCACTATACACTACACTATACACTACGCACTATACACTACGCACTATACACCACTATACACTAGGCTATTATACACTACACTATACACTACACTATTATACACTACACTATACACTACGCACTATACACCACTATACACTAGGCTATTATACACTACACTATACACTACGCTATTATACACTACACTATACACTACGCCATACACTACGCACTATAGACCACTATACACTGCACTATTAGACACTACACTATACACCATGCTATTAGACACTACACTATACACCATGCTCTTTGACACTACACTATACACCATGCTATTAGACACTACACTATACACCATGCTATTATACACTACACTATACACCATGCTATTAGACACTATACTATACACCATGATATTAGACACTACACTTTACACCATGATATTAGACACTACACTATACACCATGCTATTAGACACTACACTATAAACCATGATATTATATGCTACATTATACACTTCGCTATGAAACACCACCACTCTACACTATGACTATATAATACACCACCACCATTATAGTATGCACTACAGACGTTGCGATTACACTACACTATACACTACTATACACAATACACTATAACCTAAAAAAACAACTGTATTATTAACACACTATAACACTACACTAATATGCTATACACTACACCACTATATACACCACACCACTATACACGGGACTATACACTACACGTTTATACACTCCACAACTACACACTCTACACTAGACTATACACTACACCACTATACGCTACACTACATTGACAACGCATGTCTTTAGAACTGCTGCTGCTTGTTGTGTAATTTGTTGGTTTTCCCCAAACCGCACGCAGCCACCGTCATTACCTACATGCAGTTGCGAAATAAGTTCAACAAACGTGCAGACGTGGATGTTCATCATCATCATGATGTGGACATTCATAGCAGCAGACATACTTCGAATGCATAGAGACCCACGTAAATACATAGAGACCCACATAAATACATAGAGACCCATGTGTATACATAGAGACCCATGTAATACATAGAGACCCATGTATATACACAGAGACTCATACAGACTCACCATAGACACACAGAGACCCAAATAGAGATCAAAAACCCGATAGACACAAAAATCCCTATAGATACATAGAGACGGCGAAACCCATACAGATACATAGAGCCCATATAGTTACACAGGCCCATTTACATACGTAGATACCCATACAGATACAGAGACCCATAGAGACAGAGACCTATATAGACATAAAATACCCATATGGAAACGAGCAACATCATGAACAACATCATCAACAACATCAGCACAGTGTTAAGAAACTCACGCAGGCAAACAACTTCGTTGTCGAACTTGGGGTTGTGTTTTCTCTCCGCAGTTTCGTGACATCACGCGGTACAAATCTGGTTCCCTCTTTCACTTCGCTTACCTGTCCGCCACAGGTGACGTTAAAAAGGCGTGGGTGGGTGGTTGGGCGAGGGCGTGGGTGGGTGGGTTCGTGAGAGAGTAGTTGGGTGGGTGGGTTAGTGAGTGGGTCGGTTGGTGAGTGAGTGGGTAAGTGAATGAATGGGTGAGTCGATGGGTTAATGACTGAGTAGGTGGGTGGGTTGGTGAGTGCGTGAGTGATTGAGTTAATGAGTGGGTTAGTGAGTAGGTTAGTGGGTGGGTGGGTGAGTTGGTGGGTGAGTGATTGAGTTAGTGGGTGAGTAGGTTCGTGAGTCGGTGGATGAGTGGGTGGGTGGATGAGTAGGTGAGTGGGAAGGTGGATAAGTGATCGATACATATGTAATAAATCCGCTCCGGACGATATCGTCTTTTGTCTTTTCTTTATTCGTTCTTCATTACACAGCTCCCTCACACGCTGGGTTCCTTTTTCCCCCGTTACTCTCGTTCCCCGAGCGTGGCGTTCGCTCGCTGCCTCGCTCCCTCACACCGCTGGTTGACGGTGTGTGTGGGAGACAGCCTTCGGCCTGCCACGTGGCCGCTGGCGTGCCGGTGGCACAGACGTGGTCCCCTTAACCTGGGTAACAGAACAATCGGTTAATTCCTCATAGTAAAGCGAGCATACATGGCGACGAGAAAAAAGTCCTTTAAAATGAGTGTGACAATATTCATACGAACAGCAATAAAGAAATATGTCCCAAAAGCAAAAGTAGCCCTCAATGAATTCATTGGTAAGATTATGCAATTAACGAAATGTGTCGAAACAATGTTGTGCGGAAGTGTGCCTGTTTGTCGAGCAAATGCTTATCAATTGGCTAAGGCTTCAATAAAGTCGCGGGCAAGATTCTTTGATCAAAATAAAGATTTTAACACAATAGTTTCCCTGTGAATGTGTAGATTCGTAACATAGATGTTTCTAAATGTTTAGTTTCATCAATGAATTCATTGGTACAAATTCTAGATTTGAAGCTTTCGTGACTACAAGGATTCATACTCTTAGTTCTTTCGGTAAAGTCACGTAGGTAAAAAATTAAATTAAAATTAACAAAAAAAATAAAATAATAAACTCACGACGATTCGGAGGCAACACAAGTCTCCGTCATCAGGTGGGACCATCACAGCCAGATTTGCTGCATCACTTGATGCAGCAAATCTGGCTGTGACCCAGCAAATCTGGCTGTGACGGTCCCACCTGATGACGGAGACTTGTGTTGCCTCTGAAACGTCGTGAGTTTATTATTTTATTTTTATTAATTTTAATTTCATTTTTTTACCTACGTGACTTTACCGAAAGAACTAAGAGTATTCAATGGTACAGCTATGCAATTAACAAAAAGAATGACTAAAATACTTCTCTCGACCATATTCACAAAACTCAATGGGCGAAACACAAGGATAACTGTTGGAGTATTCTTATTAGTCCCGATATGTGCGTTATGTGTGTGTTGGTCTATTGTCTCCTTGCTCAACTCTTTTGCGTTAAGCAGACGCCGAGGTGTGGCATTTCTTGTACCAAAAATGTGTTTGTTCCCTGCTGGGCGATGAGTGTGTGAGTGTAAGACGTGTCATACACACGGCTCTCTCTCTCTCGAGGCGGCAGCTGCAACTGAGTCGGCACGACGCTTGTCTTTGTATCAGAGGTCGCAAACGGGTTTTGATTCCTTACCCGTACCGGGCCGCACCAGGGTCGCAATCGGGTACCCGTACCCTACCCGATACCCGGCTACCCGTACCCGGCCGGGTATCGAGTAAGGTATCGGGTACCCGATTGCGACCTCTTGGATGAAGCCATGTTGCAGGCCCGGGTGGGTTGATTCTCGGAACTTGAATTGTGAGAAGAGACAAGACGTTGGGAAATGAGTGACAAACGGTTACTCACCAGTGACTCACGGCCTACCCGTACCCGTACCCGGCCGCACCAGGGTCGCAAACGGCTACCCGTACCCAGTCGTAAATTGTTGTTCTACCCCGTACCACCTCTCGTTAGGACCATTGGCTGCGTGCGGTTGCAAAAGAAGTTCAACAAACGTATGGATGTGGCTTTTCATCATCATCATGATGTGGGCATTTATTGCAGCAGACAAATACTCCGAATGCATAGAGACCCACGTGTATACATAGAGACCCATACAGACACAGAGACCCACCATAAATATACAGAGACCCAAATAGAGACACAGAAACCCATATAGAGGTACAAACCCCGATAGGCACAGAGACCCATATAGATATGTTGAGTGGTGAATGACGACTCGGAGGCAGGTTTGCAGGTGAGGGCTTGCGCCGGTTAATTAACACAAGGGAGCAATAACTGCACCAGACGTAGGTGCCCCTACACTGCGTCCTTCACGGGGACCTCGGGCTCTCTCTGCTGCTAGCCCAGCTATCTCGCCTCACCGAACCCTAGCTGGCTCATGCAGACTACTCCCAGCCTTACCCCTTGCTATCCCTCCAACCCCTCTCTATCCCGGGCTCCCACAATGAGCCCCCTTTCGTCACGGGGTCTCCCTTAAGTACCCACAGGTGATATGACGTTCTCGCGCCTCACCGCACGTATGACGCCACGTCTCCATACTACTCCTCTAAAGATACATAGAGACACAGATACCCATAGAGATACAGAGAGCCTATATATCGATTTAAAGCTTTCATGACTGCAGGGATTCATCTTCTTGGTTCTTTCGGTAAAGTCACGTAGAAGGGAAATAATAAAATAATAAAAATAGAACATAATAATATAATATAATAACATACTAAAATAATAAAATATTATAATATTTTAATATAATAAATAAAATAGAATAATAATATAATAATATAAGAAGAAGAGCCTATATAGTTACACAGGCCCGTTTACATATGTGGAGGCCTCAAAGGGGCCACCATGGTGCAGAGACAGTGCCGTGTGTGGGGTGGTACTGGAGGGGCGGGTCACGGGTGTCGCTGTGAAGGGGGTCGCACCAGGACAGGACCAGGAGGTGAACCCTATCTCAATTTTGTCCCCGTTGATGATTTTTTTTTTATTATTGAACTACCAAATTATCAGTTTCCTGTCCGCCAACAATCTATTACATCTAAAACAATCTGGGTTCCGAAAAAAATACAGCACCACATCTGCTGCATTAGACTCTCTGAATCACATTTACAGTAGCGTTGATAATAAGCAGTACTGCGCCAGTCTTTTTCTTGACTTGTCCAAAGCCTTTGATACAGTCGACCACGACACCCTGCTTAGTAAACTAAATTGCCTCGGTTTTTCCCGAAAACGCAGTAAAATGGTTAAAAATTTACCTCTTTTCTCGCACCCAAACTGTATTCACAGATGGTTGGAGGTCAAACAGTGTTAAGATAACAAAGGGGTTCCACAGGGTTCCATCCTCGGCCCCCTCTTGTTCTCTCTTTATGTCAATGACTTGGGCACCGACCTGGATCATTCCAGGGTAAATCGTTTTGCAGATGACACGATACTGATTACTGCTGGCCGCTCTCCGGATGACGTGATTGCTAAGCTCCAGGGTGGTTTCAACTAACTACAACATCAACTAGTTGCTCTTAAACTAGTCCTGAATACCTCCAAAACCAATGTGCTATGCTTCTCACCAGGACTAAAGCAGGAAGTTATATTTCCCAAATTATATTCCTTAAATAATGATCAAATAGAGCAAGTCAATATCTATAAGTATCTTGGGGTTATCCTGGATTCAAAACTGAATTTTGAAGATCACATTGATTTTATTGGTAAAAAGACAAAAATAAAAATTGGTTTTCTGTATCAACACAAGCACTGCTTCCCCCCTATGTTCTGTTTGGAATTGATAAAAGCTACCATACTGCTTATACTTGATTACTGTGACATCGTGTATAAATCAGCCCCAAGTACTGTACTAAAGAAGCTTGACTCAATTTATCACTCGGCCTTAAGATTTGCATTGAACTGCCCATATAGGACTCACCACCATGATCTCGACATTGGGTCAAACTTAACATTTCTTAATGTTCGACGGCTTGTGCACCAGATCTTATTTATTCACGATGTACTCACAAAAAAATCCGAGACTACCTGCTGGATCTCCTCTCTGTTTCAAAGAACACATTTGACCTAAGGTCTTCGCTCATTTACCAGCTTCACATTCCCTATTGCCGTCCAAATACTGGGGGAAGGGTCTTTGCTATTGATACCCCAAGGGTCTGGAATGCTATTGCCAATAAACTGCAACTTGAATCACTACCTATGAGATCTTCACTCAAAACTGCTCTAGAGGAGTTGTACACCCCTAGCTGTCACTGCTATTCAGTGGCCTAAAATAAAATAAAATGTTTCGCTCTGGATGACCGTTGCACAGTATTAGCTGTGTTTTGATTTAGTGTGCTGATCTTAAAGGTGTGTAATGGGTTCAATTTAGGCGCACACACTTCTTGGGAGGCAACACTCATTTATGAATGAACACAACGGTTACTCAACAGTTACTCTTACTCTACACATAGGGTGGTGACCACCGACCTACCCTAGCTAACACACACTTGTCTCTTAGCTACTCCAGCGTGACCCAGCCAGGTGGCTGTTGGCCTTCTCTTCTTGGCATCTTCACGAGGCGTCTTCATTCTCCGCAGGAACAGCCCCGAACCTCCTGAGGCGGCTGCTTATATGGGCCTTGGCGTTCCTGGGCCCCACCCCGGCTACGCCTCCCTTCGAGCACCCTCTCGAAGCCCCCCCCCCTGCTGTCCACGTGCCCCCCGAGGTCCCCCTAGACCCCCGGCCCCCACTGGGATCCGGTCACGTGTCCAGCACCAGCCCTGACGTCATTCCCGCCTCCAGCCGGGATGACGTCATGTGTGTGTGTGTGTAGTAACGCTCCCGGCACAGTGACGTCATACGTGTGCACACATTAATGATACCACAATCATTACATCACCCTCCCCCATGTAACAAAACAGCCATCCCGGCTGTGACAATACAGAAAACCAGTGTGCCTCCAACAACAACATCAACAAATAACCGGCGACGATAATAATTACCGTGAGAACATATGTACACGCTCCGAGAGGGGGTAAAAGGAAGAACGTATGGGACAAGGGGAACAACAACAACACGTGTACACCGAGAAGAACTGGTCAACCCGCTTATCCCTCAGCACAGCCCACCCATAGCAAATTGTACGCACGCACCGACATATGAAAGTCACTGTTTAACAATGGCATAGGCAATCAACAAGGTGTGAGAGTCATGCACAGCGGCCAGTCTTCGAACGAGTTCGCATGGCTGAGCCCCCAGGGGAGGCAAGCACACTCTCCTTGGAGGTCCTGGGGGAGGAGTGATGTACGGGCGCTCCACTTCCCCCTTCAAGTCCACATCCGGTCAGCACAACCGGCGACTCCAAGGGTGGCAGGTGCAGGAATCCTGTGACGAGAAGAACCACCTCCTGAGGCACAGCACCACGAGCCTGCGCCTCAGCTCGTCGGACACAACCAGCCACCCGGCCCAGGGAAGTGGAGATGATCGTATTCCGCCCGGCGGAAGGAAGAAAAGCAAAAATACACAGATTCCGACGCGTTGGATGCACAACCAACACCGCTAATCAAATCAATCACCCAACCACCCCATGGATAGCAGGGTCTCACACCGCTCTGCTACCGTTCCACCCCACAGACGGCAAAAGGGCGAAAACTGAAAGTCTAATACCCACCTACACACACCACTTAACATTCTGGACGTCTCCCTACGTCCCAGGTCGAGAAGTCGCACTTCAGGGTCGACCCATGTACTGGCTCAAGGAAGGCATGCTTCAAGGTCGAGCTAGTATGCTGCACCCGAGGTATAACGTTGGATGTCGTACAACATCCCGGGTCAAGGAAGCCATGCTTCCCTGTTGACCCATGTACTGGGCAAAAAAAAGTCTCACTTCAGGGTTGCCCCAGTATCTACATTTTTTTTTTATATATGTGAAATCCACGTGGCACAAAAAAAAATGCCTGCTCTTTCCCAGAAATATTTCACACATACAACCCCCACATCTCCGAGGCCACCCGTGTATGTACAAAATGGCGGGCGCATGCGCGACCCGCGTCCCCACTGTTTCCCCGCGCACGCCCAAAATGGCGGCCCAACGCGTGAACATCTCCGCGGTTTTCCGCACGCGTACAAAATGGCGGCCCAACGCGCGAACATCTCCGCGGTTTCCCGCGCACTTACAAAATGGCGGCCCAACGCGTGAACATCTCCGCGGTTTTCCGCACGCGTACAAAATGGCGGCCCAACGCGCGAACATCTCCGCGGTTTCCCGCGCGCGTACAAAATGGCGGCCCAACGCGCGAACATCGTCGCGGTTTCCCGCGCGCGTACAAAATGGCGGCCCAACGCGCGAACATCTTCGCGGTTTTCCGCGCGCGTACAAAATGGCGGCCCAACGCGCGAACATCTCCGCGGTTTCCCGCGCGCGTACAAAATGGCGGCCCAACGCGCGAACATCTCCGCGGTTTCCCGCGCGTGTACAAAATGGCGGCCCAACGCGCGAACATCTCCGCGGTTTCCCGCGTGTGTACAAAATGGCGGCCCAACGCGCGAACATCTCCGCGGTTTCCCGCGCGCGTACAAAATGGCGGCCCAATGCGCGAACATCTTCGCGGTTTTCCGCGCGCGTACAAAATGGCGGCCCAACGCGCGAACATCTCCGCGGTTTCCCGCGCGCGTACAAAATGGCGGCCAAACGCACGAACATCTCCGCGGTTTCCCGCGCGCGTACAAAATGGCGTCCCAACGCGCGAACATCTCCGCGATTTCCCGCGCGCGTACTAAATGGCGGCCCAACCCGCGAACATCTCCGCGGTTGCCCGCGCGCGTACAAAATGGCGGCCCAACGCGCAAACATCTCCGCGGTTTCCCGCGCGCGTACAAAATGGCGGCCCAACGCGCGAACATCTCCGCGGTTTCCCGCGCGCGTACAAATTGGCGGCCCAACGCGCGAACATCTCCGCGGTTTCCCGCGCACATGCAAATTGGCGTCCCAACGCGCGAACATCTTCGCGGTTTCCCTCGCGCGTACAAAATGGCGTCCCAACGCGCGAACATCTCCGCGGTTTCCCGCGCGCGTACAAAATGGCGGCCCAACGCGCGAACATCTCTGCGGTTTCCCGCGCGCGTACAAAATGGCGGCCCAACGCGCGAACATCTCTGCGGTTTCCCACGCGCGTACAAAATGGCAGCCCAACGCGCGAACATCTCCGCGGTTTCCCGCGCGCGTACAAAATGGCGGCCCAACGCGCGAACATCTCTGCGGTTTCCCGCGCGCGTACAAAATGGCGGCCCAACGCGCGAACATCTCCGCGATTTCCCGCGCGCGTACAAAATGGCGGCCCAACGCGCGAACATCTCCGCGGTTTCCCGCGCGTGTACAAAATGGCAGCCCAACGCGCGAACATCTCCGCGGTTTCCCGCGCGCGTACAAAATGGCGGCCCAACGCGCGAACATCTTCGCGGTTTCCCGCGCGCGTACAAAATGGTGGCCCAATGCGCGAACATCTTCGCGGCTTCCCGCGCGCGTACAAAATGGCGGCCCAACGCGCGAACATCTCCGCGGTTTCCCACGCGCGTACAAAATGGCGGCCCAACGCGCGAACATCTCCGCGGTTTCCCGCGCGCGTACAAAATGGCGGCCCAACGCACGAACATCTTCGCGGCTTCCCGCGCGCGTACAAAATGGCGGCCCAACGCGCGAACATCTCCGAGGTTTTCCGCGCGCGTACAAAATGGCGGCCCAACGCGCGAACATCTCCGCGATTTCCCGCGCGCGTACAAAATGGCGGCCCAACGCGCGAACATCTCCGCGGTTTCCCGCGCGCGTACAAAATGGCGGCCCAACACGCGAACATCTCCGCGGTTTCCCGCGCGCGTATAAATGGCGGCCATATGCTCGAAGGCAATCTTCGCGCACACGCATATCCCTGCAGTTCTCCCCACATTTGTATCGCAGTATCCTCCTTTGGGAATCACAACGGACAATCCATGTCCAATGTTTACACCCTCCGACGTCTCTGCGCGTCGCCGCAGCCCGCCGCACGCATCAGCCGTAGCGGGGGAAATTTAAAGCAGTATCTCTCCAAGACTCGTGTTGTAGCAATCAGCTGTCTCAACCGAGCTGAGAAGACACCTCGCTCACACGCTCCTACTCGCAATGCAGCCCCTGGCTGCATGCAATCGAGCGGAGGGAGCAATGACAGACAGGAACCCACTGGTCCTGCCAACCAAAACCCCTATGACATTAACCACGGGATTTCAGCACCCAACTCAAAAGCAACTCACCATAAGCTCCCTGAGCCTGTTTCACTGTTTCAAACGCGCCATGGCCGCGTGTGTCTCTCTCTTTCTATCCCTCTCACGCTGTCTGTCAGCAGCATGAAGGAGTGCTGTAATGAAAGACGAATAAAGACCGGATTCCAGAAGTCGCTTCAACGACCTTTATTACACATTTATAGGTTATATTTATTTTAGTTTCGACCGCAATTATTGATGCTCCCTCTGGTCGCAGTAAGCCAGACAGGATGTTGCTAGGCAGGCTGTGTTTAGGGCACCTTTTCTAGCCCCCTAACCCATTTGGGGTGAGCAGAGTGGATCCTTGTGGGATGCTCAGTCACAGCTACAGCTGCTGGGATGCACTCCTGCCTAATCCGAGTGCATGACGACCTTCTAATAGCTGCCGCCTTGGTGTTGGTTTGTTACTAGGAGCTTCTAGCTGCATAGGCCTGCCCCGCTCACCACATGCCAGTCGCCCAAGGGCTTTGGGTGTGTAGTGTGGTGGTGCGATAACACAGTGTCCCTGGAGGGTGTCAGTGTGTGAATTAATGTATGCGCAGTGTGTGTAGCACACCAGCCTACCGCACGGGGCTTAACCAGGAGCCAAGCTTAGGTCCAATGGTGAGGCAGAAAACCAAGACGATTGGAAGGCTTCTCCACCATATGCCATTGGCCATCTGGACTGTGGCTAATTCACACCACCGTGGTGGGCCGTTAGCCACTTGATATCCACCCGGGATGTTTTCAGGGTTTACTCTCTTAGCCTAAGTGGCTAACCAGAGTCCCGTTAGCCAGCGCGTTTCCAGGTTGCATCCAGACAGGCCTTCATGGTTACCGAAGTGGCCCAGGTGGTCGCACCACCCACCATACTTCACCCTGTCAGGCAATCCTGTACTTAACCTGTTACTACCTCCCACTACGTGGACGAGGGGTTGGTTTTCGGGAGACAGTCACTCACCCACAGTCACTCACTCACCAACACACTCACCCACACACACACTCAACAACAACAAAACCGCCATTCGTCACTAAGTGGCACTTGTGCCAGGATATGTACACGTTGAGGCCAAGTGAGTGTCGAACGCCCGCTAGCAGGTCACGGGGCAGATCCAGGTGCCACGGGTTGACAAATTGAGATGAGTAGCCAATGCACCACCTGTGCTCCCTACTGTGCCAACTTGCTGTGCTTTAGCCACCTGGCGCTCCGTTCATTGTTGTGAGCATCGCTCCTCTGCCCTCCGTTGTTGTTGGAGGGCGACTGCATCCGACTGCCCAATAGCATCCTTCACAAGCCGCCTCCACAGAGGCTGATCTTCCTGTACCACATCACTTTTCCAGCCCATGCCGTGCCTGTTTAGCCCCATCTATCCGGCTGAACAAAACTTGTTTAGGCATGCGGTGGCTGGGCATGCGGGCTACAGGACCCATCCAATGCAGCCCTGCCTGCCAGAGGAGCTCACCATTGGGACTTTGACCAGATATTTAAGGCTGTGTGAGCTCCTCACACAATCCTGCCTGGTTAAACCCAGGATGGATCGTAGGAAGGCCAGCCTAAATGTTTCTAACCGGCGAAGATGTTCCATTAGGGGGGGTCCACGTTTTGCAATCATAGAGAAGGAAGGGCTGTGGCCGAGCAGACCTGATGCTTGGTTTGGAGCAACAGACCAGGTAGCTTTCACGCAGCGTTACGCAACTGATGAAAAGATGCCGCTCGACTGATTCAGAGTGAGACCTCTGCTGTTAAACCAGAGCCGGTCATGAGCACACTGCCCAGGTATGGGAAGCTCTCCACTCTCTCTACAACTGCCCTATCACCAATTGGGAGTCGTGGGGGTGGAGTGTCCGATGGTACAAAATATCCAGGCAGGTGCTTAAGTTTTGGTGGGGCTGATGGTAAAGCCCCACCTCTTAGTGGCACACTCCAGGTTCAGCAGCAGCGCCTCCAACTTCTCCTCTGAGTGAGCAGCAATTACCAGATCATCGGCATACATAACATGGTTGAGCAATAGGGAGCCATCCCTTGACCGCACCTGGGCATCGATCAGACTCCCATTGTATCTGTACCAGATGGAAATCCCTCCCATACAGCAATTGAAGGCTTCACGAACTACGTGGTCGAAATAGATGTTAAATAATGTCGGTGCCAGAGAACAGGGAATGGCTCCGATTCCCAGCCACGTAGTTTAACCCGGGCCCGCTCACCATGGTGAAGGTCCTTAATGATCGTGAGCAGTGGGTCAGGGACTCCGAAAGCACAAAGAACAACCCAGAGCTCAGGCCTACTGATGGTATAATAGGCCTTGACCAGGTCAATAAAGCAGAGATGTAAGTCTTGTGGGAATTCCCTACACTTTGGCTGTAGGAGACAGACAGAAAATATGGCATCCGTGCAGGACCGCCCTTTCTCAAAACCAGATTGAGGCTCAGCAAGCCTTTCCTCAGCGTGCCTAGCAAGGCGATGTTTAACAATCCTTGCCAGGACCTTTCTGGGCACACTGAGGAGTGAGATGCCCCTGTAGTTGTTACAGTCTGTGCGGTCAACCTTCTTAAAGAGGGGGACCACCAGGGCATCCTTCCACTCCTGTGGATCCCCTCCACTGGTCTAGACAGTTCTTATGATGTCATGTAGGGCAGTCTGTGCACAAACGCCACCCTTCCTCAGCATTTGGCTTGGGAGATTATCTCTGCCCGGTGCTTTTCCTGGTCTCAGACTCCGGATCGCCTTCAGTACTTCCTCAACAGATGGCACCTCAGACAGCCACTCACAGGGGGTGACTTCTTCTTCCAATATTTGAGGCACCACACTCTCTCGCGCACTCTCTCACCCACTCTCTTACCTACTCGCTCACCCAGACACTCACCCAGACACTCACCCAGACACTCACTTACCCACTCGCTCACCCAGACACTCACTCACCCACTCACTCATCCAAACACTCACCCACACACTCACTCACCCAAGTGGCTGTTAGTGAGTAGCGAGCAGCAGCAGCGGTGCTTATGAATGTCGGTACTCTGGCACCACGAGGTGCCTGGGTGGATGGGTGGGTTAGTCAACACCACGCACGCCCTGCCGCCTTTGTCTCTCTCCCCAGTGGCGATGTTTAATGACCACTACTGCTACGATTCCACCGCAGTAAGCAGGGACAGCTCATTTAAGACCTGAGCTGACCTAGGGGAGGCCCGGTTAGGTGGTAGTGGTGAGTGGTTGGTCGGTGGTGGCCTTGAGCGACAATCGAACTCTGCCCTCTTTGCCTTTTTGTAGCAGAAGCTGCTACCTCCCTCGCCTGGTATACTGGAGGGCAAAAGGTTCGATCCCGGACCCTGGCAAAGATGTTAACTACCTGGCCTGGTACACAGGTCGTGGGTTCAATCCCGGACCCTATGAGATGCTAACTACCTCGCCTGGTATAAAGGAGGGTCGTAGGTTCGATCCTGGACCCTGGCGAGATGTTAACTACCTGGCCTGGTACACAGGAGCTCGTGGGCGTCTTTAGTGTTGTAGTAGACGCTGCTAACCACCACCGCTCTCCACAGCTACAAACCACCACCAGCACCACCGCTTACCACCACCACCATCATCATCACCGCCACCATCACCACCATCATCCCCACCGCTTAGCACCACCATCATCATCACCACCACATCACCATCAACACCACCACCATCAGCACCACCATCATCATCACCATCCTCAGAGTTGAAGTTACAAAACTATAAAACGAACGACACATACTGAGAAAAACGAAAAGAGGAAGACCTCCACCACCAACTCCTCCTACTCTTGCTCCTCCTCCACTTCTTACTGTTGTGTCTCTAGAAGTCTATATGTATGTCCTGCACCTCCTCCTCCCGCCACTCTTCCTCATCCTCCCGCCTAACGAAGCTGTCGCACAGCTTCATCACCATCTCCGCCGTTCCACTAAAGCCGGCCTTGTTCAGCGCCTCGGCCAGCCTGCCGTAGGTGGCCCGCCGGCCCAGGCTCTCCCTCCAGTGCCTGAGCATGGCGTAGTTCCTCTCGTTCACGTTCCGCCCGTGGTTCTCGCTTGCCTCGCTGACGAAGGATTCCGCCAGGCCCGCGAGTCTCATCACGTGGGGGTAGTCCGAGATGAAGCCGTTGTCGCGCAAAGTCTGGTGGATCTGCAGCAGCTCCTTTTCTGGGGATGGTGGTGGGTGGGTGGGTTGTCGGTGGTGGTAATAAACAAACATAATCCGATGAGCTATAAAACTTTGTCAAGTAAAAACATGTTTTTTTTTACCCTTTCTGACAGGAGTTGTGTTAAGATGTTCAAACATCTTAAATAGACGGCATTTATTTTTTTGCGAGGAATAAAGTTACTTAGTGGCATTAACCACACACATGGTGCTTGTGGTGAACATGTAAACAAATATGGCTCTAATAATGAACTTGCATTGTCTATGAAACTGATTGGTCTATAACAGAGACAGCAGCCTTCTTTACGGTCGAGTCTCACCACCAGTGTCTCGCTACCCAGTGTCTCACTACCCTGTGTCTCACTACCCAGTGTCTCACTACCCTGTGTCTCACTACCCAGCGTCTCACTACCTATTGTCTCACTACTCAATGTCTCACTACTTAATGTCTCACTACTCAATGTCTCACTACTCAATGTCTCACTACCCAGTGTCTCACTACCCAGTGTCTCGCTACCCAGTGTCTCACTACCCAGTGTCTCACTACCCAGTGTCTCACTACCCAGTGTCTCACTAACCAGTGTCTCACTACCCAGTGTCTCGCTATCCAATGTCTCGCTACCCAGTGTCTCGCTACCCAGTGTCTCACCACCTAGTGTCTCACTACCCAGTGTCTCACTACCCAGTGTCTCACTACCCAGTGTCTCACCACCCAGTGTCTCACTACCCAGTGTCTCACCACCCAGTGTCTCACCATCCAGTTTCTAACAACCGAGTGTCTCACTACCCAGTTTCTCACTACCCAGTTTCTCACTACCCAGTGTCTCACTACCCAGTGTCTCACTACCCAGTGTCTCACTACCCAGTGTCTCTCTACCCAGTGTCTCACTACCAGTGTCTCACTACCCAGGGTCTCATTACCCAGTGTCTCGCTACCCATTGTCTCACTACCCAGTATCTCACTACGCAGGTTCTTGATCATAATCTGCACGTGTGGTTTATCTGGCTTGCGGTTTAACCACGTGTTCGAGTTTTTTGACGTAGCAACTACTGCTGCTACAACAGATTTTATTTGTACCAGGTCTAAGACCCCACTGCTGAGCTTTTTTGTAGCATCTTTTTCAGAAGCGACTTGGCCATCACACATTGTAGCAGATCAACCAAGTGGCTGATATTATCATCATCATGTGGACATTTGTAGCAGCAGCCAAATACTTGAAATCCATAGTGATACATCGAGACACAGACCCATATAGATACACAGAGACCCATAAAAAATAAATATAGACCCATATAGTTACATATAGACCCATATATATATATACAAAGACACTCATATAGATACATAGAGACCCATACAGACACACAGAAACCCATATAGATACATAGAGACCCATAGACTAGACTAAACTCACCAGTAATTACAGGGACCCGAGTATGTCGTTTAGGATAAATCTGTGTGATTTGCTGTTCATCTTGATCCAATGCAGTCGAGTCTGGCTGATTAGAGTGACCAGGCTTCCTGTCTGGAGGTTGAACGAGAGAAAATAAAAAAATAATACGAATGCAGTCAAAATGTTCACTCAACCGAGGCTATTTTGCATACTTCATTTTTACTCAAACTAAACTATTTTTTTTATTTTAACAGGTGTAATAAACGACTCTTTCTCAGTGTCGATCTCCGTTGTCCTTTATTTGGGTTCGTAGAATCTCGCTCACACGGCGTCCTCGCTCAGGCCCGCGTCTCCTCCGACGATCACTCCACAGCCACTCTGCTGCTCCGCTCTGCAGCCTCACTGCTGCTCCGCTCTGCAGCTGGCCTTCCACAGCCCGCTAGCCCTCTGCGTCCTGACACCGATGGCTGACGGTGCCGACGTCTCCCAACGCGTGGCGATCGCGCCACCCTCCCCGTACTGCCCAGCGTGGCCTCCTCCCGTTTCACTCCGTCTCAACTCCCCGATCCCCTTCCGGTTCTCTCCTTAAATCCTCTCCCCCACGTGACCCTAACTCCTCCCTCTCCTCACGTGACCCAGACTCAGCCCCCCTCAATCCTTGCTCGCATTACACAGGTAAGGCTCCGCTACGGAGCTGTGTAGCAAATTTTCAGAAGCGACCTGGCCATCACGAATGATAGCGGCTCAACAAAGTGGGCTTATCACGTGGAAATGTATAGCAGCCAAATACTCTTTAATGCGCGAGGTTGATTCTAAACGTGGAGGGAGGAAAACCTGGAGGACTTGGAGAGAAATCCGCGCAGTGACCACCACGGGGAGAGAGACAGAGAGATGCAAACTCCCAATATACAGCAGGCGTCAGGGTTGGTATTGTACCCACGACGTCCTGCTTACCAGGCGAGGTAGTTAACATCTTGTCACTGGCATTGTCTTTGTCTTGTTCGCCTTTTGGCATTCTCTGGTCTACTAACACACCGCTATGGGTTCAAAGACAATGCCATACACTGTTATTATCAGAGCATGTTTGCATGTTTTTCCACAAGTATGATGTGTGTATGTGGGTTAATGCATTACTTCATGATATCTTGCAAAAGGCATCAAAAGACTACATTACATCTTAACACCACCTCTTGTTTTGTATTATTGCCAGACAATGTTGTGTATGTAAATCACACCTATTTGTTATTTTTCGTACATCTTTATTTTTTTATTCCTCAAGCTTCAAAACAAACAAACCGCACGAAACAACTCGACTTTTCAATACCCGGACGGGAGTCAATCGTGTGACGAGATTTGTTTTGTTCACACACCGGGGCGATGTTTCGCGCCCGTCTGCCTCTTAACAAGGAGGGCACTCGAATTTGGTTCCACGACTGTGGCAGCGCTGTCTGCCGTCTCTGGTGTAGAGGCCAATGAGTTCAAAACACGACAATGCGTGTTATTATTACGATTATTATTGTCAAAGCAGTGTTTGCTTGCATTGTCATTGTACTTGTTCTCTAGTCTAACATGGGTGCAGAGACAAGGCCATGAACAAGGCTGTCTCTGGTGTAGGCCAATGATTTCCAAACACAACGAAGCCATAACATCATTAGTATTTTTTTAAATATCAAAGCAGCAGCAGCCGTGTTTCGTTTTGCATTGCTTTACCACAAGTGTGAGGCATGGTCGATGCACAGGCTGAGATCCACTCCGTCAGCTGGGGGTACTTGTCCTGTAGGCTTTCGAGAGCCCTCCAGAGCTTGAGGCACTCTTCCCTGTCGATGAACTCGTTGATCAAAAAGTCGGCGCGCTCCACTTTCCCCGTGATGTCTTTGGCCTCGTGGTATTTCTCACGAGAGATCCAACCCCTGCTGTCCAAGTAGTCGAGCAGGTACGTGGGGTCCCTGCCAACCCACTTCTTCAGTTGCGGCCTCTTCCTTTTGATCAGCTTGGCAGCCTTCGACTCATCCATGTCTCGAACCTCTAATGAGTAATGGAGGAGACGCCACAGTAATTACTGGTGTGCTGCTCTGTCTCTCTTCTCTCTGTGTGTGCGTGTATATATAGTGGAGGAGTCCGGCAAAAGCAACCCTTTACCTCTGTGGTGGTACTGGACAATAACACGGTGGTGGTTGTGAGCAATACCATGGAGGGATGGCCAATTCCTGTCGGCTATACCCGTCATGGCACTTGTAGCCACCACAGCGGCCAAATGGGTGCTCTGGATGGGTGCAAGAGGCTGGAAACCCCTCCACCTTCAATTCAATGACCACTAAACTAGTTTTAAAATATCGAATTAATCTTTTGCTGGAGACCCTGGGGGACAGGTATCTACGACTTATCCTGACCACAAACCACTTGGCCGAGCCAGGAAACTGAATCCTTCCTCTAGGAGTTCCTCCACAAACAAAAAAAAATCACTGTCACTGGCCACGAGGAATGTTCAAACGTTGACTGTGGAGGAGAGGCTGCCACTCCTCTCTCCTCTGCCCTCCATTGTTGCTGCTGGAGGCCGACTGCCCTCCCAACTTGTCCCCCCGAAAGTAAGCGTCCTCAACTGTGCAACTAGCCTGGCACTGCGCAGCAGCAGCAGCAGCAGCAGCGTCCTTCGCGAGCCCTTTCCTCCACCACAAGCGAAAATCATGGCCGCTGTTAGGCATTGTGGGTGGCTGGAGGTCGGCGTGCCTAAAAATCAAACGTTGTAACCTCCTTTCCTTTCCTCACCACCTTGGCCGAACTGCACTGCCTCAGCCTGGAGAGGTTGTGGTCGAATAACAGCCATGGCCCGCAAGGCAAGGTGGTGTCCACGCAGACATTTTGGAGTTTGAAAAAGCCACTCACCAATCCTTGCAGGGCCCTTAGTATTTTGTTTGGAATCAATCTGCGGGATTTGCTGTTCATCTTTACCTGCAGAAGGTCCAGTCTCAGGGATTGGGGCCTTCAAATTAAACAGGCCCAATGGAGTCGATTCTTGCTGATTAGAGTTACCAGGCTCCCCTTCTGGAGGATGAAAGAGAGAAAAGAAAAACAATCAAATTAATGCAGGCAAAATGTTAAAAAGGGTGTGCAGCCCTGATATTGCCCGTTCACTCTACCGAAGATCGTCTTGGTTCTTTCGGTAAAGTCACGTAGAAGGGAAATAATAAAATAAGAAAAATAAAACATCTTTCTGACCCCGTGCACCAACTGGACATGAAGTCAATGAAGAGATTCACGGCTGTTGGGATTTCCTCCTCCTCCAGTATATAAATAAATACAGATTCTAGTTTATAGGTGCAATGCCAGAAGTGAAAATGCGCGCTACTTTACCGCAAGGAAATCTTCCACCCTTCTTCTTGTAAATGAACGCAGCAACAGCAACAGCGACAAACAGAAGCAGAATCACGGCCACCACAATGCCCGCTGTCTTGCCTCCTGTTTCAAAAGAGACGCACATAGGGTTGTGTGTGTGTCTGTGTGTTTCGCTGTCTTTCTGTGGCTGTGTGTTTCTCTGTATGTGTCTATATGTATGTCTGTGTATGTGTCTATGTGTATGTCTGTGTATGTGTCTATGTATGTTGATGATCTAGTGATTGCTGCTCACTCAGAGGAGGAGTTGGAGGCACTGATGCTGAACCTGAAATGTGCCACTAAGAGGTGGGGTCTTACCATCAGCCCCACCAAAACTAAGTATGGGTATTTTGTGTGATGGATCACTTGTGGAAAAAGTGAGAGTTGACCATGTCTGGGCAGTGTGCTTATGACCAGCTCCTGTTTACACAGCAGGTCTCACTCCGAATCAGCTGGGCGGCTATATCTTTTCATCGGCTGCACAATACTGTGTGGAAGCTACCTGATCTGTCGCTCCACACAAAGCTTCGGGTCTTCTCTCTGCTTGTGAAACGTGGACCCCTCTAATGGAACATCTGTGCCAGTTAGAAACATTCATTCTGGCATGCCTGCAATCCATCCTGGCTTTAATCAGGCTGGATTGTGTGAGCTCACAAATCCTTGAAAGATCTGGAAAACATTCCCATCAGTGAGCTCCTCCGGCAGGCAAAGCTTCATTGGCTGGGTCATGTAGCCCGCATGCCCACCCATCGCATACTTAAAGAGCTTTTGTTCGGCCGGATAGAGGGAGCTAACTGGGCACGGCATGGGTTAGTCAAGAGATGGAGTGGTATGGTACAAGAGGATGTGGAGCTGAGTAGGCTTGCCAATTACTAGCACAAGTGGTGTCAAGATCGGCCTCTGTGGAGGAAGCTCGCGAAGGACGCTGCTACTGAGTCAGTTGTAGGCAGTCACCCTCCAGCAACAACTGAGGGCAGAGGAGCGATGCTCACAACAATGAGCAGAGCGCCGGGTGGATAAAAAACAGCAAGTTGGCACAGTAGGGGGCATCGGTCAGTCATCTTAGTCAGTCGACCCATGGCACCTGGGTCTGCCCCGTGACCTCCTGCCAGCGGGCGGTAGTGAAGCGGTTAGCGTGCTGAGCTATGAACCCAACGACCCGGGTTCGATTCCCGCTCACGGCTAACACCAGTGACGATTATCTGAACCGGTTCTGGGCCTCCCCTAGGTCGTCTCAACCTTAAATGAGTACCTGGTGCGGTGTGTAAACAGACAAAGGCGGTCGGGCGTGGTGCTGGCCACCCACCCCCTCATGTACCGTTCCGGCCTTCATAAGTGCTCGGAAACAGCACTTGCCCCTACAGTGTGTTATAGGCTACACAGGTGATCTTTGTCTGTATGTATTATTTAGGGGCGGCTGCAAAAGTTAAACGTGTCGAAGCCGTGTAATCGGGTCGGCCAATCGGTGAATCTCAATGCAGCAACAATCACAACAAAAACCTCCCGTATGTGACGTGGTGTGCGTACGTCCATCGGTTTGTCTTCGCATTCTGTTACGTGTCCGATGACGCACAAACGTGGATGTACGTCGTAAGTGTGTCACCCAATTCCGTTTAGTTTCCGATGACGTACGTGACGGGATGTCCATCATCAGTTTGCCTTCATGTTCCATTTCTAGTTATGCACGTGACATGACGTGGTGTACATCGCGACGCGCGCGTGTGTGTGTGTGTACGTCATCTGAAATGGAAACCGGAAGTGAAAAAAGTACAAATGTAAATATTACTTTTGTCGGTGTGTCGTCAAGTGCCGAGGCACAGTTTTTGGTGCCAGCCATCGTAGAGAGACCGCGTGCTGCAGCCGGTTCATGTCGCTGCGTTTCTCTCTCTGTGCCGTGAGTAACGACGTCTTCATAACAAAACAAGGGCTGCTTCTGCTGCTTCTGCTACTGCTGCTATCCAAGCCTCTCTTGGTAATTCAAATTAATGCCGAAACCGCTTTCGCACCGCACGTAGCCAACCGTGCTAATCGGAGGTGTGTAGGTGAGTGGGTGTATGTGTGTATGTGTGGCCTGGCACAAGCGTCGTGGTGACGTCACCGCCACTGAGTGGCGAATGGCGGTTGTTGTTGTATGTGTGTATGTGCGGTGTACTTCTTTTGCACCGTACGTAGCCGACTGTGGTAATATGTGAGTCAATATAGGTGTATCTATGTGGGTATCTGTGGGTCTATTGGTGTCTCGGGGTCTCTGTGTATGTATGTGCGTTGAACTTATTTTGCAACGTTCTTAGCCAACTGTGATCATCAGAGGCGCAAGCATCACACTAACACCGTGGCAACAGGCATCAGGGTTGCAGATCAAACCCACGACCTCCTGCACATCAGGCGAGGTAATCAACATCTAACTAAGCCACCGTGAGCATGGGGGCCTCAGCCTGCGTTCGTTTTACCGCTGGTTGCACCAGTCGGAGTTGGCGTTGCATTGCTTGGATCTTGTGTGCAGAACTCGTCTACTCTGTGGAAACCGGCTTTACATCGGCACAGCGTATTGGAGCTCTCGGTGCAAGTCTGGACAATTTCCTCCCCTGTGCGGGGAGACACGGGCGGGAAAAACAAAGAAAAATCCATGTGGTGACCACCACGGTGAGAGAGAGACACAGACGGAAAATATACAGCAGCAGGCGTCGTCAGGGCCACGGGATCGAACCCACGACCTCCTGCATACCAGGCGAAGGAGATAACAACTCGCAGGTAATATCACACGCAGTTCATCACATCTACGCCTCTTTTTAAGGAAATAAACTGGTGGACTTCTCCACAAATCTGGCTGAAGCCTGATGAAGCTTGGTATAATTACTGGCGATATGTCATGGTACTCAGATTGTAAATGTTGTGGCTTGGCTCTAAAACACACCAGTGTACTGTACTAGTACACCACACTATACACTACACTATACACTACATTATACACTACACTAATAAGACTACTATACACAACAGTATACACTACACTACTATACACTACACTACTATACACCACACTATACACTAGTGCTGTACTAGTAATGAATTGGCACGTTCTGTTTACGTAACAAACCTGTCGGGTGGTGGCAGGTTTAACGACACAACATTCATATATATTCACGCAATCAAACCCCAAAAACCCTGTATTATGGGGTTTTAACAATTCAACATTTGCCGTTCTTTCCGAGCCCAGAGAATTGATGGAGGAGTGCTGGAGGTGCTGGTGGTGGTGTTGGTGAATCTGCTTGGTAAAGCTCCGCGGTCATCCAACCCCAGATTTCCCGCCACCTCACGATGAGCCGCAGTTGGCTATGCACGGTGCGAAAGAAGTTCAACATACATACACTACACCATACACTACACTATTCACTACACCATACACTACACCATACACTACACCGTATACTACACCATACACTACACTATTCACGACACCATACACTACACTATTCAATACACCATATACTACACTACACCATATACTACACCATACACTACACCATACACTACACTATTCACTACACCGTATACTACACCATACACTACACCATAAACTACACGATACACTACACTACACCATGCACTACACTACACACTTCACCATATACTACACCATACACTACTATACACTGCACTACACTGCACCATGCACTACACTATTTACTAAACTATACACTACACTATACACTACACTATTCACTAAACTGTACACTGCACCATACACTACACTATTCACTAAACTATACACTACACTATATACTACACAATACACTACACTATTCACGACAGTATACACTGTACCATACACTACACTCTTCAATTTTCTTTACACTCCACTACTATACACTACTATACACTACACTACTATACACGACACAACTCTAAACTACACTACTTTCTACAACACCACTACATTACTATACACTACACTGCTATACACTACTACACACTATACTACTATACACTACTACACACTACACTACTATACAGTACTGCATACTACACACTACAATACAATGCTATAGACTACACTACTATACGCTACTACACGCTACACTAATATACACAAAAACACACTACACTACTACACACTACACTACTACACACTACTATACACTGCACCACTATACACTACACCACTGTACACTACAACACACTACACTAGTATACGCTTCGGTATATTTAAATCGGACATTTAGAGTAACGCCAATTCTCATTGATAAAGACGCGAGAGAAGTGGTTGTTACCTTCCTCACATTCCTTGCATTTCCTACATCTTGATTCGTAGTTTTCTACGGCCGTGTAGTATCCGTTAGGACATTCCCGACAGGTCGTGGGGCCTTTGTTTTCTGTGCATCTATTCTCAACGAATTGCCCTGCAAGAGACGAGAGATGCAAAAGGTACAAACAAACAAACATCATCTTCATCATCGTCATGCACCTCGTTATTCACGAATTTGATTATCGGCGAATCGAGTCTGAAACTCGACGCAACTGACTGCATCGAGAGAGACGCAGACTCCAAATACACATCAGCAGCGCATCGTCAGGGTCGGGGAATCGAAGCCATAGCCTCCTGTATACCAGGCGAGGTAGTTAACATCTCCCTAGTCACCGTGGCAACAGGTTTCAGGGTCATTGGATCAAACCCACGACCTCCTGCACACTAAGCAAGGCAGTCAACATCTCCCTAGCCACCATTGCTCACAAATGCACACCTCAAAAATGGCAACTTTTTAAATCCTTTATATTAAGTTCACTTGCTTGCTTGCGCGCTTACGACCGTGCAAATCTTTCGGTCGTTTTTTAACCCACTTCCCGTGATCCAATCGAGCTGACATTTTGCACACAGACTCGTTGTGCGTGACAATTTATTTTCGTGAAATTTTTTTTTACACTTTTTAGGAAAAAATAAATTATATTTAATTACCAATTGCTTAATGGTGGCAGGCAATCATCTGACCCATAGGTGGCAGCCATCTCAAGCCAGAGGACGAGAGGACTCTAGCCGCCACGCATATAAAGGATTTATAGTGAAAAACTTTGTTTTTACGGGTTAATTTTTTTTTTGTCTACGACAGCGCTGCTTTATTTTAATGCCGTGACTGCACGATTTCGTTTTTGGCTCTGCCCTTACCTGGCTTGCACCGCTCACAGCAAAGGCCAGTTTCTAACACGTGGTGGAATTCATGAGGACACGGAGACTCTGTTGGTGTCTGTGGGTGGCAGGAAAGGGGTGCATTGTATTAGACCTTTACGTGAGTTTGTAACTTTGTTGTTATGAGGTCGACGTACTCCATCATTGTGGTCGTCATTAAGTTCTGTTAGCGAGCAGCAGCACCTATGAAGGCTACCGGCGCTGTGGCACACGAGGAGATGGGTGACCAGCACCACGCCCGGCCGCCTTTGTCTCCCCCAGTGGTGATGTTAATACACCATCGCACCAGGTACTCATTTGAGGCTGAGTCGACGTAGGGGAGGCCCAGGACCAGTTAAAATAATCGCTACCACTGGTGTTAGTGGCCGTGAGCGGGAATCGAACTCGGGTCGCCGGGTTTGTAGCGTAGAGCTAACCGCTACTACACTACCGCTCCCACATAAAAACACATGCACACACATACACACACACAGACAAATACACAAAGACAAAGATCCCCGTTTAGCCTTAAGAGACTTGGGGCAAGTGCTGTTAGCGAGCACCTATGAAGGTCGGCACTGCACACGAGGGGGTGGGTGGCCAACACCACGCCCGGCCGCCTTTGTCTCCCCAGTGACGATGTTTACACATCACACCAGGTACTCATTGGAGGCTGATTCGACATAGGGGAGGCCCAGGACGGATTCAGATAATCATCACTGGTGCTGGCCAAAAGCGGGAATCAAACCCGGGGTCGCCGGTTCATCGTGCAGAATAGCGCTAACCGCTACACTACCGCTCACACACACAGATACAGACACACACACAGACACACACACAGACACACACACAGATGCAGACACACACAGACACATGCGATCCATCAAACGCTGGAAAGAGCAGTTTCGAACAGGGAAAACCTCTGAGCCGTTACCGCAACATTCCACAGAACAACAGCTCGGTGAGCTGAGGCATGGCCATCAAGCAGTTTAGTTTATTGTTTAGATATCCACTGGATTGTGGAACCTCCGAGGGGTTCTAAACTAAAATGTATAAACTAAAATTACATGTCTAACCGGGTGCGGCTAAAATCCACGCAGTGAAATACCACGGGAAGAGAGAGAGATGCAGACTTCAAATATACAGCAGCCAGTATCGTCAGGGTCACGGGATCGAACCCACGACCTCCTCTACACCAGGCGAGGAGATTTACATTTCTCTCGCCACCGTGGCGCCCTTGATGATGATGATGAATGTCACCTACTGATAGCAGTGACCATCATCATCATGATCATCAACCCCTCCACCCCACTTCTCTTACCGCAGCCATCAATCTGACACAGCAGCACAGCGCCAGCACCGCCGTGAGCATCTTCCCCCGTTCGGAAACCACCCCCGCCACGAACCACCAACATCCTCTTCTCCCTCTTCTTCTTATCATGATGATGATGATCCGATGGGCATCTTCAGTTCGTATCTCCTGAGCAACGCACCGCGCACACCACGAGATCGCAAAGAGGCTCCTTGAGTTGTTGCTGTGTTTTCATGCCGCACGGTTCCGTGAGTGCCACCCCGTCTGTGTGTGTGTGTCTGTGTGTGTCTGTGTGTGTGTGTGTCTGTGTGTGTGTGTATGTGTGTGTGTGTGTCTGTGTGTGTCTGTGTGTGTGTGTCTGTGTGTGGTGTGTGTCTGTGTGTGTGTGTGTGCCTGTCTGTGTGTGTGTCTGTGTGTGTGTCTGTCTGTGTGTGTGTCTGTGTGTGTGTCTGTGTGTGTGTCTGTGTGTGTGTGTCTGTGTGTGTGTGTCTGTGTGTCTGTCTGTGTGTCTGTGTGTGTCTGTGTGTCTGTCTGTGTGTGTGTGTCTGTGTGTGTCTGTCTGTGTGTGTCTGTGTGTGTCTGTCTGTGTGTGTGTCTGTGTGCGTGTCTGTGTGTGTGTGTCTGTGTGTGTGTCTGTGTGTGTGTGTCGCCCTCCAACAACAACGGAGCGACGCTCACAACAGCGAGCGGAGCGCCGGGTGGCTAAAGCACAGCAAGTTGGCACAGTAGAGGGCACAGGTGGTGCATCAGACAGTCATCTCAGTCAGTCGACCCGTGGCACCTGCTGGGTCTGTCCCGTCACCTCCTGCCAGAGGGCGTCCGACACTTCACGTGGCCTCAACGTGCACATAGCCTGGCACAAGCGTAGCAGTGACGTCACCACCACTTAGTGGCGTATGGTGGTTGTTGTCTGTGTGTGTTTCTGTGTGTGTATGTGTGTGTCTGTGTGTGTGTCTGTGTGTGGGGAGCGGTAGTGTAGCGGTTAGCGCTACGCTGCGCTACGAACCTGGCGAACCAGGTTCGATTTCTGCTCACGGATAACACCTGTGACGATTATTTGAGCCAATCCTGGGCCTCCCCTAGGTCGACTCAACCTCAAATGAGTACCTGGTGCGGTGTGTAAACATCGCCACTAGGGAGACAAAGGCGGCATGGTTCTGGTGACCCACCCCCTCGTGTACAGTTTGGTCCTCATAGATGCTACACGGGAGGATCTTTGTGTTAGGTGCTACTACTCGCTACTACTAACAGCACTTGCCCCTACTATACACGACTACACACTGCACTATAATACTACTCTATACACTATACACTGCACACTAAAGATTACTACTATACACTCCACCACGATACGAAATTGAAAACGAATTTATTTACAACTGCTTTTGCCATCCTATAAATGGCAGCGTGCATGCTAACTTCACGATCAGGAGGAACAACCATGGCAGGGAAATTGCTGCTATGATCACCATGACTTGATCTATCTGCACGTGCATCACTTAGACTCACACATAGATCCACAGACACACATAGACCCACATATTTGCATAAAGACCCACATATTTGCATAGAGACCCACAGACACACACAACGACCCATAGACTTAGACAGATACACACAGATAACGATAGACACACACAGAGACAGACCCACACACATAAACTCCCATAAACACAGAGACCCACAGACTCGCACAAACTCATAGAGAACCCCATAGAAACCTACAGCGACCCACTACGTACGGTGTCAAAGAAGTTCAACATACATACACACATACCCATAGATACACACATACCCATAGATACACACAGAGAGGCACAGACTCGCACAGAGACCAACAGATTCGCATAGAGAACCTCAGACACACACGAAGACCCACAGACTGAGACAGATACCCACATACACACACAGATAAGAATAGTGACACACACAGACACAGAGACCCACAGACTCGCACAGAAACCCAGAGTCTGAGAGAACCACAGACCCACACAGAGACCCACATACCCGCAGAGAGACCCACAGACTCGCACAGAGACCTACAGACTCGCACAGAGACCCACAGGCACACACAGGTACGCAAAAACTCACCACAGAGACCTACAGACTCACCACAGAGACCCACACACTCACATACACCAAGACCCAGACACACTATTATTTACATAAATTCCCACAGACCCACACAGAGACCACACAGACTCACTACAGAAATCCACACAGAGACCCACAGACTCACACAGAAACTCACAAACTTAGAGACCCACAAACTCATACATAGACTCACAGACACACACAAAGACCCACAGACTCACACCGATACCCACAGACTCGCACAGAGACCCACAGACCCACACAGAGACTCACAGACTCAGAGACCCACAGACTCACATACAGACTCAGAGACCCACAGACCCACACAGACTCACAGACTCAGAGACCCACAGACCCACACAGAGACTCACAGACTTACACAGAAACTCACAGACTCGGAGAACCACAGACTCACAGACATACTCAGAGACCCACAGACTCACATACAGACTAACAGACTCAGAGACCCACAGACCCACACAGACTCACCACAAATACCCGCACAGAGACCCACCGATCCCCAAACAGAGACTCACTACAAATACCCACACACACACAGATTCCCACACAAAGACTCACCACAAATACCCCCCCCCCCCCCACACACACACACAGAGAGACCTATAGACTCAGAGAGGCCCACATATACACAAAAAACTCACCACAGTTACCTCTAAACTCACCACAGATTCCCACACATAGACTCACCACAAATACCCACACACAGAAAGAGAGACCTATAGAATCAAGAGAGGCCCACAGATACACACAAACTCACCACAGTTACCTCCAAACTCACCGCAGATTCCCACACGGGGACTCACCACAAATACCCACACACACACAGAGAGAGAGATACCTATAGACTCAGAGAGGCCCACAGATACACACAAACTCACCACAGTTACCTCCAAACTCACCACAGATTCCCACACGGGGACTCACCACAAATGAGAGGACAAACGCTACGAGCGAAGTTCCTTTTCGTCAGGATGGAGTTGAAGCTCCAGGTGTCTCCATCCCGCTGTCTCTCTCACCTCTCACCCTTCACCTGCCTCTCACCCTACCTCTCAATAAAGCAAGAGACGGAGAGAGACAGAGAGAGAGACAGACACAGAGAGAGACATAGAGAGAGACAGACACAGAGAGAGACACAGAGAGAGACAAACACAGAGAGAGACACAGAGAGAGACAGAGAGAGAGAGAGACAGGGCGAGCGTCTCCTACTTCCTCTTTCAGTTTGTAGCCCGAGTCATTCTAAGACATGGGGAGGAGAGGGAGGGGGAGGAGAGGGAGGGGGGAGAAGGAGGGGGGGAGGGGCGAGGTGGAAGGTGACGACGCCTCGGGTCGGAGTGACCTCTGCGCACGGAAGCTGCTGCTGCTGGTTGTTGTTGTGGTGGTTGTGGTGGTGGTTGTGGTGGTGGTGGTTGTGGTGGTTGTTGTGGTGGTGGTTGTTGTGGATGTAGCGACGCTCACAACAACGAGCGGAGCACCGGGCGGATAAAACGCAGCAAGTTGGCACAGTCGGGGGTACAGGTGGTGGTGCATTTGCCGGTCATCTCAGTCAGTCGACCCATGGCACCCGCAGGGTCTGTCCCGTGACATTCCTCCTGCACCTAGCCTGGCACAGAGATCAACAGAGACCCACAGAGATCCAGATAATCGTATAGACCCAAAGAGACCCACAGAGATCCATAGACTAGCATAGAACCATAGAGATGCACAGATACCCATAGAGACTCATTACTCATGTATGTACAATGTTGAACTTCTTTGAGACCGTACGTAGCCGACCGCGGCTAATCCGAGGTGGCGGGGGAAGTAAAACAAACCAAAAACAACAACTTCAACATCAACAAATGTGTCACTCTAGGTGACGATGGTGTAATGGTGCGTCACAGCCTCCCACATGACTTCCTCATCGGTGTCCACAACAGTGACTCGGCACACGTGACCCTGTGCCTAACGTCACCATTTGGGGGTTTTTAAATCCTTTATGTTAAGTTCTCTTGCTTGCTTGCGTGCTTGCTTGCGTGCTTGCTTGCGTGCTTGCTTGCTTAGGACCGTGCAAATCTTTCAGTCGTTTTTTAACCCACTTCCCGTGATCCAATCGAGCTGACATTTTCCACACAGACTCGTTGTGCCAGACAATTATTGTTCGTGAAAAAAAATTCCCAAAATTTTACACTTTTTAGGCAACATTTTTTTATTTTACATATATTCAAATAGCACTCATTCATGGCTTTGGCTGAACGTCAGAGTGCAAGAGCCCAGAGCGTAACCCCTCCACAGGCCGTGGCGGAGTAGCGCAGTTGGTAGCGCCCTCGCTTCCCATGCCAAAGGACGCGGGATCGATCCCCGCGTCCTCCACAGGCGAATATATTTTAAATCCTTTATATTAAGTTCACTTGCTTGCTTAGGACCGTGCAAATCTTTCGCTCGTTTTTTAACCCACTTCCCGTGATCCAATCGAGCTGACATTTTCCACACAGACTCGTTGTGTGTGACAATTAATTTTCGTGAAAAAAAAAATCCAAAATTTTACACTGTTTAGGGAAAACAAATTAAATATTTAATTAACCAATTGCTTAATGGTGGCAGACAATCATCTGACCCATAGGTGGCAGCCATCTCAAGCCAGAGGACGAGAGGACTCTAGCCGCCACGCATATAAAGGATTTATAGTGAAAAACTTTGTTTTTACGGGTTATATTATTAAATCCTTTATTAAATCCTTTATATTAAGTTCGCTTGCTTGTGTAATAATGTTCCAGGAGACTTGGACGCCGGGGTTGGAGGCACACGTATTTATTCCGTGTCGGGTACAGCACAACACTGGACATACAACACTGGAGGGGGTATCGGCCCCCTCACCCATCTAACTGGGAATACACCCTCTAGCTACGCCTAGCCTACCTCTTGGTCCTCCACTAACGGGCTAGGGGAGGCTAGCTAGCCCGACACTGGTAAGTCGGGCTCACGGTACCCGGAGTCCCAGACCAGCTCTTACAAGAGCACCGGCTCTGGCTCTCGGGACCACGCCACTGGCTCGATCCTGTTCGGCCCTGATAAGGGCGGCGATCCAGGGGAGTCCAGGGCTCTATCTAGACGATCTTCTGTCTTCACTGGTTAGCTTCAACATCTCTTCCCGAGCCCTCCGGCTCATCCCCTTTTATACCAAAACCCCCGCTGAGGGGTGGGGCCCCGGGGGATCCCAGCTCCGAGTCAGCCCCCCAGGCTGCCCGATGCGGACGTCGCTGGGAGCACCTTCCCGTGCACCAACATAGCCACGCCCACTGTGTTTCTTTCCCGTGTGATCCCATTGTATACAGCCCCTCCGTAACACCCCTACACTTGCTTGCGTGCTTGCTTGCTTGCTTACGACCGTGTAAATCTTTCGGTCGTTTTTTAACCCACTTCCCATGATCCAATCGAGTTGACATTATCCACACAGACTCGTTGTGCGTGACAATTAATGTTCGTGAAAAATTTTTTCCAAAATTTTACACTTTATAGGACAAAAATATTATATTTAATTACCAATTGTTTAATACTGCAGACAATCATCTGACCCATAGGTGGCAGCCATCTCAAGCCAGAGGACGAGAGGACTCTAGCCGCCACGCATATAAAGGATTTAGAGTGAAAAACTTTGTTTTTACGGGTTATACTTATTTTAAGTTCGCTTGCTTGCTTGCGTGCTTGCTTGCTTGCTTACGACCGTGCAAACCTTTCGGTCGTTTTTTAACCCACTTCCCGTGATCCAATCGAGCTGGCATTTTGCACACAGACTCGTTGTGCGAGACAATTAATGTTCGTTAAAAAAAATTCCAAAATTTTACACTGTTTAGGGAAAACAAATTAAATATTTAATTACCAATTGTTTAATACTGCAGACAATCATCTGACCCATAGGTGGCAGCCATCTCAAGCCAGAGGACGAGAGGACTCTAGCCGCCACGCATATAAAGGATTTAGAGTGAAAAACTTTGTTTTTACGGGTTATACTTATTTCACAATTACAGGGGTGCTTCAAAAACACCGCAACGCTTCGTGAGAATTTGCAACGATAGCAAGTGGAGACCACCTGGAGACGATTCCAGGCGGTGCGTTGACAACGATGGGGAATGAGTGGGAGGCTCTTTGACTTGTTGAAGCTAACACGTTCCTGCGGGCGGAGGGAGCTGGTAGGAACGTCGGGTTGCTCAGTCAATGGCCTGCAGGGTCAACGGCGGCGTGGTGTATTCCGCAAATATGGCCGACTGTGAGGGCGGGCACAAGCCGGCGTGAGTAGGTTACACTAGCCTGGCACAGCAGCAGTCAACCCATGGCACCTGCAGAGTCCGTCCCGTGACCTCCTGCACCTAGCCTGGCACAGCAGCAGTACAACCCATGGGCACCTGGAGGGTCTGTCCCGTGACCTCCTCCTCCTGCACCTAGCCTGGCACAGCAGCAGCAGTCAACCAATGGCACCTGCAGGGTCTGTCCCGTGACCTCCTGCACCTAGCCTGGCACAGCAGAAGTCAACCAATGGCACCTGCAGGGTCTGTCCTGTATGTACGTGTGTGTTTAACTTCTTTCGCACCATCGTACGTAGCCAACCACGGCAAATCGGAGGGGGCAGGGGAAGGACAACAAACTACAAACAACATCAACAAGGAGCAGTTATATAAAGAAATGAGTATGTAAATCGAGATTATAAATGATGATGATGATGTATAAGTGCATCATAGCTCCCATTGACTTCCTAATATCGGAAGACACCAACAGAGATCCAGAGACTCGTATAGACCCACAGTGACCCACAGAGACCCAGATCCTCGCATAAACAGAGCCCACACAGATCCAGAGACTCACATAGACCCACAGAGACCCACAGAGACCCAGAGACTCGCATAGACCCACAGAGACCCAGATCATTGCATACACACACAGAGCCCACACAGATCCAGAGACTCGCATAGATTCATAGAGACCCACAGAGATCCAGAGACTCGCATAGACCCACAGAGATCCACAGAGATGCACAGACACCCAAAGAGATCCAGAGACTCGCATAGACCCACAGAGACCCACAGAGATCAACAGACACCCACAGAGATCCAGAGACTCGTATAGATCCAAAGAGACCCACAGAGATCCATAGACTCGCATATAACCATAGAGACACACAGATACCCATAGAGACTCATACTCATGTATGTACAATGTTGAACTTCTTTGGCACCGTACCTAGCCAGCCGCGGCTAATCCGAGGTAGCGGGGTAAGGTAAACAAACCAAACTAAACACAACAACATCAACAAGTGTCACTCTAGGTGACGATGGTGTAATGGTGCGTCACAGCCTCCCACGTGACTTCCTCATATCGGTGTCTACAACAGTGACTCGGCACACGTGACCCTGTGCCTGCCGTCACCATTTGGGGGGTATTTTCACAATTACAGGGGTGCTTCAAAAACACCGCAACACTTCGTGAGAATTTGCAACGATAGCAAGTGGAGACCACCTAGAGACGATTCCAAGCGGTGCTTTGACAACGACGGGGAATGAGTGGGAGGCTCTTTGACTTGTTGAAGCTAACACGTTCCTGCGGAGGGAGCTGGTAGGAACGTTGGGTTGCTCGGTCAAAGGCCTGCAGGGTCAACGGCGGCGTGGTGTATTCCGCAAATATGCCCGACTGTGAGGGTGGGCACAAGCCGGCGTGAGTAGGTTAAACGTTGAGTTTTATAAGGGCACCACGGGGTGACCAGCCCCTCCCCACCCAGCCCCACCCTCCCCACCCAGCCCCTCCCCACCCAGCCCCTCCCCACCCAGCCCCACCCCTCAGCCCCTCCCCACCCAGCCCCTCCCCACCCAGCCCCACCCCTCCCACCCCTCAGCCCCTCCCCACCCTCCCCACCCAGTCCCTCCCCACCCAGTCCCACCCCTCCCACCCCCCACCCTGCCCCACCCTCCCCACCCAGCCCCTCCCCACCCAGCCCCACCCCTCCAACCCCCCACCCAGCCCCACCCTCCCCACCCAGCCCCTCCCCACCCAGCCCCTTCCTACCCCCTCCCTACCCTCCCCACCCAGCCCGACCCCTCCCATTGTTGGATGCACGACGAACGGGCACAATAATCCCCTGTGGGCTGGTGGAACCAGGTGGTTCCTACCATAGTTAACGTTACACTTGTTGTGGCGTTACAGTTGTAGTATTTAGTATCCGTTATTTTTCCAGTAAAAATGATAG